AATGGAGGAGTGGATTTGTGGGTGCAAATATAGGGGGTAGGGAGAGAGAATGGGAGGAGAGGAAGAGAGGGAAACTCTGATTGGAATGTAAAATAAATAAATTATAACAAAAATATGACTGTAATTTTTAAAATTTAAATTTAAACATTCTTCTACAGGTATGTGTATTATTGACACTCTGCAATCATATTTACTTATATAATAATAGAAACCCATCTTGGTGGATAATTTCACCAGTATGGAAGGTGTGGTAAAATGTTTGGCATAAGTGAATATATGATAAATAATTCTTAAGCAGGTGACTAATATACCTTAAATGTCAACTAAGCATGAAATATATGTATAAAATTCAGATATATAAGAGTTAAATTCAGAGTTAATTTATAAAGCAGTCTACCTCTACTAGACCTGATTATCTTGATCAGCATATTAATTTAACTTGAATCTGTACTAATTATAAGTAGAGTACAATCAATTTACCACAGGTCAAATGGACACGTTTCTCTTCTACACCTAATTTCCTTCTACCTTGGAACATTTCTCCCTGTTTTTTTTTCCCAGTGACTGAGCTATTTGTATGGCTTGTACCCCACAATTCTTTGCTTAGTATTTGTAAATAACCTTCGATCTGAAAGGTATCCCTTGTTTTGAAATTTAAAGTGTGTTTCACTCTGAATACACCTTCTTTTCCTTTTCAATCATCTGTCAGCATCACATGACAATATATGGCTTCATATTCATAAGACAGAGTTGTCTTTTGATAACTAAATCAGTACTGGAAATATAGTAGATAATAAATGTCATTTAGATGGATAAATGCATGAAAAAACTTAGTTTGATAATTAGTGCTATTTATCTTCAGATGAAAGCATTCTTCCAAAAATGCTATACTCTAGTTTATATATATTCTAGAGATTCCAATTTTCTGTTTATAATTAAAACTCTATGCTTGGCATACTTTATAATAGTATAATCATGGATGTCGATATTTTGACCCATTAGTCTACATTGTTGTCATTATTGTTAGAAAAACAACATCATGGTCACATGTACTTGACCTCATTTGATATTAAAATGTGTCAGAGACTTATTTATAATCCAACCAACAAGTTATCGATTATCAGATATTATCCCTATTACAAATTCTTGCTTTTTCAGAATCTTTCTATTTCAGTAATCACCTGTGGAAGAAATAATTAACATGGAGGGATTGAATGCAACATTAGCAACAATGTTTTTAAACTTTAAAGGAAGTTAAAATATTTGTTCTTTCCAAATTGATATAAATCTAAAAACAGAATGTATAGTAAATAAATAAATACTAAATGCAATGAAAACAAGGAGTTTGCCATCACGCATGTTATGATGTTCACTGCTTTAAAATTCAATTTAAGGATTACATCTGTAGGTATAATCTCATTAAATATGCAATATGTTAATTAATTGGTGAGAAATATGTCCAGTATTTATAAAGACATATTTCTCTCCATTCAAAGTAATTATGGTAATTTATAATAATTTTTATTTTATTCCTTATGTTGAATCCAGATACCATTCATATCTCTCCTCCTGCTCATGATGTTAACCGTGACATAACTTCTCTTGGTCCCCTTACTGACTTGCTTTCACTTTCCTTTAACTATCACAAAGGTTTGTTTTTTTTTTCCCTGCATGTCATAATCACAATTATCATAGAAGCTTTTGGAACTTGCTGTGCTTATCTTTATTATTCCTCCTGGAAATATCAGTAAATCTCCTCTGCTCTCTACAGGTTGCTTTTTTTCAATCAAATTAATTAGTTTATTCACAGAGGAGAAAATCTTCTGTTGTCCCCATGCCAGTTGTCTTCTTGTGCTTCCACAGTTGGAAGTTTTGTTTTTTTTCTCCTTCCTTTCTATCCCTTGCCTCCTACTATCCTCGGGGTATTACACGGTACAAAACCCAAACAAAACAAAGATCATTTAGCTCATTTTTCAACAGATTTCTAGCTCAAGAATGTCAGCATGCAGTATCCTGTTTCATTTTAAAATCAGTGGCATTTTGTTTTTTTCTTTGAATCCCAAAAAGTGCTTTTAGAGATGTGTTCAGAAAAATTATCAGATTAGTGATTATTAAATGCTTTATTACCTTATGTCTTAACAATATTGCTGTGTAGCTTTCACAGAGTTGATTTACTGCCATCAAAGTTGAGATTTGGAAAGGAGAGGAATCATAAAAGAAAATATCAAATCAGTGTGGCAGTTGCTCAGAAAATTGGGAGTCAACCTTGCATTTTTTATAATCATCTAAAAAGATGAAGAAAACAAAACCCCTAAAATATTTTCTAAAATTTAAATAATGCTTTTTTTGCTGTTGTTCTTGTTACCAATTGTAGATAGGGAGTAATGTTGTCATTTTAGGATTCAAATCATCTAGAAGGATGCAAATGAACATTTTTGTAAATGGTATAATAAAATACATGGAATTTTAAATCTAGGTTGAATTTATATTTTCTTGCAAGTCAGTCTCAAAGTATAATTAATTAGTTATTACAAGTAGCATATATCACATTGTTTTCTTCTTGAAAAAAAAGGAATTATTTATAAAAAGAAGATGCATGTGACTATAGGGAGGGTGGTGCATATGAGGGTGGCTTTTTGAGATAATCAAGTTTTTGAGGCTCCCATGGTTACATTGCAAATAGGATCCCTACCCTACAAACTGTGGACATCTGACTAAAATTTGACAGCTCTCTGTCCTATAACTTATGGTGACAAATATATGGAATAAAATATTTTCCTGTGGTAGTTTAGGGATAGCTGGCTTGATGATAACTTTTACTGCTAGTGTTCATTAAAATAATTACACTGATAACAACAGGGCAATCATTGTTAATGTGTAGATACTAATATATTCTGTCTATATTCTGGCTTGGAATATATAGTTGTGAAATTTTCTATTATAATTTATGCCTTACTTATTCTTTCAAACAAATTGAGCACAAAATATGTTTTCTACCTCCCTGTTGCCACACCTTAATTTAGCACTGGCACAGAAATCCTCCCAGCATATCTCACAAGTTTCATGGTTCTATTTTAAGGCTTTAAAACTTCATCTGGCGATGGATGGAGATAGAGACAGAGACCCACACTGGAGCACCCGACTGAGCTCCCAATGTCCCAATGAGGAGCAGAAGGAGGGACAACATGAGCAAAGAAGTCAGAACCACAAGGGGTGTACCCACCCACGGAGACAGTGGGGCTGATCTATTGTGAGCTCACCAAGGCCAGCTGGACTGTCACTGAAAAAACATGGGATAAAACCGGACTCTCTGAATATGGCGGTCAATGAGGGCTGCTGAGAAACCAAGTACAATGGCACTGGGTTTTGATCCTACTTCATGTTCTGGCTTTGTGGGAGCCTAGCCAGTTTGGATGTTCACCTTCCTAGTCCAGGATGGAGGGGGGAGGACTTTGGACTTTCCACAGGGCAGGGAACCCTGACTGCTCTTCAGACTGGAGAGGGAGGGGGAGAGGAGTGGGGGGAGGGGGAGAGAAGTGAAAGGAGGGAAGGGATATGGGAGGCTGGGAGGAGGCGGAAATTTTTTTCAATAAAAAATAAACAAACAAACAAATAAATAAATAAATAAATAAATAACTTCATAAACAACAGCTAAGTAAACTTAAGGCAGTGGGACAATTTCCTTATCTTAATATATTCAAATCTACCATTGGCACTTCATTTCTTGCCATTGAAATATAAATCTAGCTTGTCTCTCTAGGCTTTACATGGATACACACACCAAACAATATAAATCAGAGCAACACACGCAGAATGATGAACTCTGCTTGTTACCTTTGTAAGAAATAGGCAATTTTCAGAAATTTCTTAAAATATCTTTTTTTCAATAAGTCAGATATATTCTTAAACTGATCCAAAGCCACACTGTGTTTGAATGAGAATTTTTCACACACAATTGAGAAACTTGTCTCCATGAGTATATGCATGAATAGATGAGTAATGCTTTGAGTGATGCTTCAGAAGAGAAGGTTCCTGTCACCCATTTCTCATCAAGGATTTTATGCACATGAGTTTTCATGTGGTTTTATGGCTTCTCCATTCATACTATAACTTTTGTAGAAAGTGTTAAAATATTAAATAGATAAAATTTTGACAATTCTGCAAAGCTTAGTTATGTAGATAGTAATCTATCTACTCAGTATCTGTACTACACTTGCTAAAGAGTATACCATTACAGTGAAGACATGGAAAATACAACTATAACAACTCAGAATACAAGACAAAACTGAAAAGTCTTATATGCCTTAGGTTGAGAATCAGATTAAGGTATCAAATTATATCAAAATTATAGCAAAGAAGCTAAAACTTGCCAGTTTTTTTTTAATGGACCTTCACAGTCCTTGACACCCCTGATGGATCAGTGGTTAACTTAAGAGAACTTGCTGCTACTCCTACATTGTACTAGGGTTCAGATCAAAGGACCCCTATGGCAACTTAGAAACATCTGTAATTCTAGTTCTAGTGGTTCTGATGTCCTCTTCTGCATGCTGAAGACATTAAGTATATACTAGTTGCACATACAGTCATACAAACAAACACTCATACACATAAAATGAAAATAAATAACTATACAAAAATATTTTTTTCAATGACAGGATGTCAGTATATTGCTGATGATCACCACCTGCCTTGGCCTTCTAATTAGCTAATATTTCAGGCATGTAATACTGAAATTATCGTTTATTATAAACCAATAAGGATTCACATGGAAGCAGTTTATAAAGGATCACACTTATAATACTAGTCACTCTGAAGGTTGAGGCAGAAAATTGCAATTGCAACATCAAATTTAGCTTCATAATAAGTTCTAGGTTATCTTTGGAAGTTTGGTCAGACCCTGTCTCAAAATACAAAATGCTAAAGATATTGCTCAAAGATAAAGTCCTTGCCTAATATGTTCAACACACACATGCACACACACACATATACACACAACTTACTTGCTTTGTTTTTCCATGCTGGCTACCCTGAGGCACTCCCATCTTGAATTTAAGAGATTCATTTGTTCTTGCACTTCAGTTTCCTCATCTTCTGATAATTTTCCTTTTCCAATGATTCGACTTCCTAACTGTAGAACATTACCAACACGTCCTTGATGGGATGTCAAATCCATCATGAAACCCTGACAAAAAAGAAGTTGATGATTATAAACAACACTTGAAGAAATCATTGAGAAATTATGTTTGCAATTTTAAACCTGCATCCCATAAGTGTATATTCTCATTAAGTATATCTTCATTTTTATATCATGGAATTTTAAATCACTTTAAATATGTGGTATGGGAGAATCCTCTGTATTCTGTCAATCATGTTTTAAATAAATACTGATTGGCTAGTTGCCAGTCAAGAAGTATAGGCGGGACAACTAAACAGGAAGTAGAGGTGGGGCAATGAGAACAGGAGTATTCTGGGAAGAAGGAAGTTCTTTCCACAGTCCTGTCTAGACCACGGAGGAATCAGGATGTGATCTGCTCCACTGAAAAAGGTACCGAGCTATGTGGCTAACATAAATAAGAATAATGGGTTAATATACATTGCAATAGTTAATAAGAAGCCTGAGCTAATGGGCTAATTACTTTTATAGCTTATGGAGACCACTGTGTAATTTTCTTTGGGGCTTACCGGCTGTGAGAACTGGACAAGACAGAAACCCCAACAAACATTCCCTCTTGCTACAGAATGGCACCCACATGGACAACTGCATCCACATAAAACCTGAGAGAGTATGGGAAGTAATTCTAGACAATAAAGAATAGTGTAAAGCATGGCTTCTTGGTAGCAGCAATTTATTGGATCTGCTCTGCTTCCTAGAGGCGAAAGCTCTCATTTAAGAGAGGCTTCCTGACTCAGCTTTAGCTGCAAAACTCTGCAGCTCCTTAATAGGTCCTGCCACAAAACACTTAAATGGTGTTGATAAAAGCTGACTGCATGCTTGTTGGTGTTCAGTGATAGCAGGAAAAAAGCTATGCTGTTTTAAATTATGGCTTTCTAGGCCATCTTGCCAGGGCAAACTCTGACTCTTTCAGGCAGGCAGTCCAGCTAGGGAGTATTTGAGTGTGTTTTTTGAGCACACTGCTGCAGCTTGCTTTATGGCAGGGACCTTGAAACATAATAGAGTTGTGGCAATAAACATGGCTACAGCCAGTACTTTCAACATGAAGCTGGAATCACATAAAGCTAAGGAATGGGCTGGGTCCAGCTGTCAAAGCCACAGCTTTAATCCCACCCATATTGCTTAGTAAATTAAAAACTCACATGGTCTGAATGAGAGAGAGAGAGATTTATACAGTAAAGAGAGAGTTAAAGATGAAGAAAACCTCTAAATGGTTTACAGTGTGTTAAGAATATATGCAAGTTTGGGAGAGTGAATAAAGAGGTTAAAGTCCGTAAAATAAAAAAGAGTACTTGGGTTCATTGGCACACAGCTTTAATCCTAATACCTGGGAGATAGAGGCAGAAAGATCTCTGTGAGTTCAAGGACAGCCTGGTCTACAGAGTGAGTTCCAGAATAACCAGACACAGAGAACCTGTCTCAAAAAGCCAAAAAGTAAAAATAAAAGAAATGGAGGTTAAAATAAAGCTATGTAAAGATGAAAAATACACAGAGAATCTTGATACTGTATTATTATGCTCTCTTTGAATTGTTTGAATGGTGAAGAAGGAGCAAAAGCTGCTAAAAGATATTTGCTTATAAATGCTGCTGAATTAATCCAATATAGGTATTTTGAAAATACCTTGACTTCGAAATTGAAGTCAAAAGGTATGTTACTTTGGAGAAGAGATTTTGCTTTTGTTTCCATAGAAAATGAGAAGCTGTGGATTCATTGTGAGTTAAGAAAAATCAGGTTCGATCAAGGAAGACCACCTGAGAAATCTCCAGTTGGAACAGATGGCCTGGATGTCTGAGTTCTACATCCAGAACAGATTCAAGACTGCTGCCTGAGATGATCAAGACTCACAGGATAATACAGTCAGGACTTGATCATAATTCTAAATTTTCTTTAGGTCCCCATAAGATTATCAGTGCCCCCAACCAGCAGGAATTAGCCTGGAATACTACACCCACATTGCTTCCAAAATGGACTATGGATATTTTTCTTTATTTAAAAAAAAAAGAAGGGGAAGTAGTGTAGTAGAATTGTCTGTATTCTGTCAATTGTGTTTTAAATAAATACTGATTGGCCAGTAGCCAGGCAGGAAGTATAGGCAGGACAACCAAACAGGAAGTAGAGGTGGGGCAATGAGAACAGGAGTATTCTGGGAAGAAGGAAGCTCTTTCCACAGTCCTGCCCAAACCATGGAAGAAACAGAATGTGACCTGCCCCGCTGAAAATGTTACCGAGCTATGTGGCTAACATAGATAAGAATAATGGGTTAATATATATTAGAAGAGATAATAAGAAGCCTGAGATAATGGGCCAATCAGTTTTATAACTTATTGAGACCTCTGTGTGATTTTCTTTGGGGCTTAATGGCTGTGAGAACTAGGCAGGGCAGAAACCCCAACAAACAGACTACAAATGTGAATTTGGGAAAACTGATCTTTGGACAACTTCTAAGGAAGAATATCATAAGTCGAGAATTTCAGGACAGAATATTTATTAAGATGCTCACAGAAGTACCTGCAGAAAAGTTAAATAAACAGGAAATAACTGTACATGCTTATTATCCCAGCACAAAAGGCTGGGCACAATGAGGCAAGAGGATACCAATTATATGAAAACCAACCTGAGTTATATAGGTAGTATCAGGTCTTCTAGAGATGTATAAAAGACCTGTCTCAAGTAAAGAGAGTAAAGGGTATGATGTGGGTAATAATCTAAGCAATTGTATACTCTCAGGAAATCTTGCTCACTGAGGATCCCTCAACTTGATACCACACATGTCCTCATGATGTGTCTTAGATAAGTAGGTGCTCTGGACTGTACTTCAGAAGGAAGTCTCAGTTTTGCTCTGACATAAAGGAAAAGGCTCTAGTTTTATTTTTTCTAAGAGTCATTCATTGCAAAACCACTACCTACAGAGACTTGTCACCCAAAGCAGAACTTCAAATATTGCCCCTTGCTCCCATCCAAAGCACAAATGTGATTTGCTAATATCTCAAAATTTAACACATGGACAAACAAAGATATTTGCAATTAAATGTCTTTTTTTCAAAATAATAGGCAGACATATTTGTCACTGTAAACCATGGACTTTAGTTTCATATATCAGTGTTTTGCTTTACCTCATGAGTATGGAACTGTTCTTTCACTTTTTCAACATCATTTGAAATCTCTCCTTGGGCTTGCAATGTGTCTTCTGCAGAGAGAAGCCATGAGAGTACTTCTTCTAAAGCAGTTTGATAACTATCCAGGTTTACTTCAGTCTCCATCAATGAACTGCCAAGTGCTTTATCTTCAGGAGCTCCCAAATGCTGAACAATAAAATAAATTGAATGTTATACAATTAATGGTTTTGAAGATTGCACATCAAATGATAAGTTAAATGAAATATTTAAAATGCTAGAAATGTCCACTCGCATTGTCAGAGGCATGAACAGCAAACACATAAAATAGTGAGCCTTCATTTCACCATTCTCATGAACACACACAGAAATTCTCAAAGGAAAGTTGAAATCCACACCAAATTAACATTTTATTAAAGCTTATCTCTATTACACTAAAGAGTGAGCCAGTGCATCATGTTTTTATGTTGAATCTTAAATGCCATAAAATGGCATCCATAAGTTCTTTTTACATATGTGTATATATATAGATGGAATTAGAAAACACTATCCTGAATGAGGTAACCCAGAACCCCCCCCCAAATATGGTATGTATTCACTCATTAGTTTTTTAAAAAAATCTTTGAAGGATATTGACCTTATAGTTCATTATCCTAGAGAAACTAAGTAACAAGAGGAACTCGAGGTAAAACATACATAGAACCTCCTGGAAAGAGAAAATAGATAAGATCACATGACAAAGCTTGAGCATGGGGGGGGGAAGGAAGGGTTGAAGAGGAGAGGAGAAGGGGAGGGGGAGGAGAACATGAGAGAATGGGATAATCCAGAAAGAAGGATCGAGATGAAAGTAAGAAACGAGATATTTTGATTGAGGGAGCCATTATGGGGGTAGCAAGAAACCTGGCACGAGAGAAATTACCAGAAATTCATAAAGACCCTAAGCAATAGAGGAGAGTGTTTCCAAACTTGCCTTGTCCTCTCTTCAGACTGATGAGTATCTTAAATATCACCATAGAACCTTCACCAAGCAACAGATGAAAACAGAGACAAAGATCTACATCAGGCCACTGGTCTGAGCTCCCAAAGTCTAGTTAAAGAGTGGGAGGAGTGAGAATATGAGCAAAGAGGTTGAGATCATGATGGGGATATCCACTGAAACAGTTTACCTGAGCTAATGGGAGGTCACTAACTCCAGTTGGACAGGGAAGGAACCAGCATAGGACCAAACCAGACCCTCTAAACGTAACTAACAGTTGTGTGGCTGGGACAGACTACAGGGACATTGTCAGAGGCACTAGGATTTAATCCCTACTACTTATACTGACTTTTTTTGGAATCTATTTTCCTTGGAGGGATACCTTACTCAGCCTAGATATAGTAGGGAGGCCAGCCTTAGACCTTCCCCAAAGCAATGTGCTTTACCCTCTCTCAGGAGTGGATGGGGATGAGGTGGGGAGATATGTGGAGGGAGTGGGAGAAAGGGAGGGAATAGGATATAGTAGGATTGGTATGTAAAGTGAAAAAGGTAGTTTGTTTTCTTTTTAAAAAATAAAATAAATTGAAAATATCTTTGAAGACATATTTGAAGATCCCAACAGTATATATTACTTGAATCACACATTTAATACCAGAACACAAATAAGTATGAAGTGTTATAAGAAAAATGTGAAGTGTGCTTCATCCAGTTCAATTAGATTGATATTAAGGAAGATGTCAAACTGTTTTCTTAGACTACCTGCTAGGCCACTAAAGTTAAGGAGAAATGTGGTTCAAAGTACTCAGAACTCTAAAGAGAGAATCTAATTACCTTTGAAGTGATTGATAGAAAGCTATCACAAACTGACCTCATAAACCTTAATTACTCTCCTATTCAATGGCATTTACGGAAAAGCAAAGAGATGAATTATACATTCAAAGTGAGAAAGGATTTTGCTGTAGAGGCTGGAGTGTGTTGTGTGGCAGTGACTTGTCCCGACCTAAATAGAGACAAAGTAGTTTACAACACAAAATATTGACCTTTAATCCTGGGGGATTTGGGCAGATTCTGCTGTTATACAATTGATATCTTACATTGCCCAATAACCAAATGAAACAATGACAACAAAACCCTGAATACTTGAGAAATTCTGGAGATTTTTCTTAAAAAAATAAAGTGAATGAATAGTACGTTTCTGTACTTCAAAAACCTGAGAAAGAACATACTCAAAATGGTTTCACCTAGAACTATGAGACATAGACAAATATCTGATCGACTAAAGCAAAGAGAAATGAGCATCACCTCTTAGGGTACATTTTTGCAATTTCCTTCTTTAATTTTCACTTGACACTTAACTGTGGAGAGTGTCTTGAGAGGAAGAGGAACAATACAGCCAGGAGCTGGATTTAAGCTGAAAACCTTTCAGAAACTGCCTTGCCTTTGAGTGCTCCCAGAAAAATAGTCACTCTTGTATTGAGGCTCAGTTTATGGGAGTGAAGCTGAGTATTTTACACTTATCAGAATGCCTTACACTTGTTAGTTCCTTATACAGGAAACAAGTACAACATTTATGAAAGTATCACGGTAACAACTACTATTATCTACACTTAACGTCAATGATCAAGGATATTGATCATATCCTTGATTACTGAGGTGACATTCCTAGGATAGCCAACACTTACGCTGAACTCAGCAATATACCAAGGAAATGTACAACAATTCACAGTCCCTTTTTGAAACTAGTCCTTCATTACTCAGCTAGATGAAGATAAGAATTAGAATATAAGCTTGGCCGGAAGTTAAAGAAAAACAACTGGATTTACTTTGTGCTTCCACATTTTAATGAGAATGAAATCCAAAGGAACACAGTAGCTTCAAAATGCAAAATACATAATCTAGAATGTTTGAACTCATTTTTGCTTTCATAACTGTAATTGTACAACATAATAGAAACTAGTAAAGCTCATTTTTAAATTTTCTTAATTGAGTCTAATGCTAAGTAGCAAATGCACAATATGTCACATTTATGAAACACTTGATAGAATACTTAACCTATTATAAGAAACACAAATTATGTTATATCTATAGTTATAGTCACAAGTAAGTTTGTACGGATACAGATATAACAGCTTTAAAAAAATTATCAAGCCCTGATGTGGGAGTGTCATATATCAATCTGTTGATTTCATTGGTTAATTAAATAAAGAAACTGCTTGCCATGATAGGTTAAAACATAGGTGGGAGGAGTAAACAGGAGGAAGAGGAAGTGAGGTAAGACTCCTCAGAGAGACGCGAGATAGCTGTGCTCTCAGAGACACACAATGAAGCTCCTACTCAAGATGGACATAGGCTAGAATCTTCCCGGTAAGCGCACCTTGGGGTGCTTACATACATCAGTAGAAATGGGCTAGTCCAGGTGCGAGAGTTAGCCGAGAAGAGGCTAGATATAATGGGCAAGCAGTGTTTAAAAGAATACAATTTGTGTGTTGTTATTTCGGGCATGAGCTAGCAGGCGGCCAGGGTGCTGGGGACGCAGCCCCGCTGCTCCTTATTTCAACAAAGCCCTAAAGTTACTGCATTATGCAACTGCTCAGTTTTCAGAGATTAGAGTATTAATGTAGGAAAAAAATAATCCCACAAAATTGAAAGAAATAGCTATAAATTTAAGCTAGCTCTTTTTTGTTATTGCTGTTGTTTGCAACTCAACCTGAAACCTTGAGGAATTTAAAGAACTAGAAATGTTATATTCAAATAATTGTCTCTAAATGATAAACTTACAAAAGAATTATTATTAGATTAACAAAACTACATTTGTACAGCTGTGAAAATTGTTTAAAAAACATAAAACATTTTATGCTATACTAATGTTTAAAGGCTTGCATTGGAGAGATGATAAGCAGAGAAAAACTCCTGGAAACCTGTGGACCAACTATCTTGGAGAATGAAGCATAGCAGGAACAAGAGAGAGCCTGACTCAAAAAATATAGGAGAGAATGGGCTACCAAAAATTTTCCTCTGACCTCCACACCTGCGGTATGGTGTGTATACACCTACATTCACAAACATGCATCATACAAACACACATACAAACATATACATATGCATGCACACTAATGATTATGACGATGATGAAATCTAGAAATTAAATGATAGCTTTTTGTTGCAGGAAAGACTTTTATAGGGCATTTTGCATCATAAAATTAGGCTAAAGTGATATCTTTTATTATTATTATTTATTATTACTAATTATTATTATTTGAGCAAAGAAGATAAATAGCATGTCACTTCTATTTGTTGTACCTGTTGCCTTATTGATATACTGTTTGTTTCCTTATTTCCTTCAGTCAAAGTAATTCTGTTGGAGCACTTTCAAGCTTGCCATTTGTAAGAAAGAAACTAATGGTATCAAGCTTTATGAAGTCTAGTAGATTTCATTATCAGCTGAAAACTCTGTCTTCTGCCTCAAGGAAAGTAATAAAAGTCATCTCCCCTGTTGGCCAAAGAACTCCAGATGGCCCATGAGTCAGCTGAAGGCAGGGAGAAGTTATTTTTCTTATTTTTATCTGCACCTAAGATATGAAACCTGCTGTGGGGTTTATATGTCGAGATTCTCATGGTCAATTAAAAGTTTTGATCTAAAGGTTTAGAAGAGTGCATAACGTCTCACTGTAAAAGAAAAAGTTAAGGTATGATAACTTTTGCGACGTATCTACCTCTTCTTTTAACTTTTACTTTCATACTTCCAAATAAATGACTGAAATGTTCAAGGGGCTCATAGCTGAGAGAATCACTCCTAATTCAAAGAAGGCACTTAAGAGTTTAAATAAATAAACAAATAAATAAAGTATAAAATCAGGAAATGAAATAATGAACAGGAAAGTAACATGGAACGCCAGGTGAGCCTAACAGAAAATACATGTTCTAAAACTGTGCCTACCATTTCATAGAGTAGAGAACCAAAACTTAAAACCTACATGAAACCATTCATTGATTTAAAATATTTTAAACTGAAGGAAAGATTTTAAAGTTTTTTCTGTGAATGTATAGTATTTTTAAGTGACACACAATGAAAATACTACTATATATCCACTTGAAATGTTGTTTCCATTGAATGATTTGTTCAGAATGTACACATCTTTTTTTTTTCAACCCCTGCTAACAGAGAATTTTTGCCTTGGAAGATGAAATAATTTTGCTGCTTTTGGAAATATAA